TACAGTGTCTTCCCACCGCCCTGGAAAGGAAACCCAGATTCCTCAGCAGGACTCAGGTGGTCCTTTGTGACGCGCGCCCTGCCCTCACTTGGACTGTGTCCAGCTCGTTCAGCACTGTAGTACCAGCACACGATGAGGTGCCAGGTGCCTGATAAATGCAAGAGGACGTAGGACGTCTGCTCCTTCCCACCCCCTCTCCCTCCAGCCTCTCAGGCTCCTACTACAAGTGGCAGTAAAAAATTTTAAAATTAAAGAAATAATAAAAAATTAAAAAATAAACCAGAAACCCCCAGGAGGAAAGTGCACTTGCTCCGCAAAGGAGAGAGAAAACTGAGATTTCACTCGGATCCGCAGAGGGCTGGGAATAGCAGGCAAGTGGCGACATGTCCCAAACCAGAAGAAGGTGGTGGTGTCGCAACAGAAAGAGAAGCAGACGGCCCAGTGCTGGGGCACAAATCCAGCCATCAAGGCACAGGCAGGTCCCATTTCCTCCCTGATCCACCTGGCACACGGTGACTGTAGACCCTGTGAACTCCAGCAGTCCTGGACTACAGGTGCTCCGTCACAGAGGGCACAAGGGTCTTGCGTTAGCGTACATTTTGGGGGACAGGTTCTTTCAAGTGGGAGAGGTGACCATCAGTGGGCCATCAGTGAGGATTCTTTGCATTCTCTCTGCCCGGCAGCGGTGCGCCGCAGGGGGCCGGAGTCAGCTGGTCCCAGCTCGGGGAGCCTCCTGTGAGCACCTCTTCCCAGCTCCACCGTCAGGGACAGGGACATCGGCTTGGCAGGCTGAAATCTGCCGTGGCAGGATGGACACCACAGAAAATAGCAAACGCTACAAGTTAGTGCCTTTTATTTTCCTTTTCCAGGGTTTTTAAACATTTACTAGACACGACTAGTTACGGAGAACCATGTTAGTGTGCCTGAGATGTGGGTCCCCGGAGAGCAGAAACAGAGCCCGGGTGACAGCAGCACATCCCATACAAACAGGTTACTCATTGCTCTCTGAAAGGAATACTTTCCATTTCCTATGGTGCTTCATTTTCGGTTTCGAATTAGTTTTCTGGGGGGAAAAAAAACCCAAAACAAAACAGTATCCCTGTCGGCATGGGCCCTGAATCTCACTCACTTCTGCATCCTCAAAGATTTCACTCCACAGATCAACACCTCCCTCCTTTCTGGCATTCTTTTCAGGAGACAACCCTTTCCCAAGTGTCACCCACCATTTCCTTTCGATTTTGCGAGTCCCCCTCTCGACCTCACATTACCCTTTCCATCAGAGCCAAGCCCTTCCAATTACTTGTGTCCCTCCAGCTCAGCCCTTATTTAATCCAGTGACACTCCCATCCTCTGGACCCTTCCTGCCCATCTCTATGGTTGTGGAGTGGCACCATTCTCTACGGTTTGCCTTCTCTCCCTACACCTGCTCCTTCTCCACATATGGGGCTCCTTTTCTTGTCCTGAAATAGTCACGGAAATGCACAGAAGACACACCCAACTGTCAATTATTGGAGCCAAGGGACATCAGGGTGTGAAATCTATCAAACTTAGATTGTCTCGGTATTCCACCGAAATGTAGTATTTACATAATTTTAAAAACTCAAGTGACCCCGAAGTTTCATCTATAAAGCACCTCAGGCGGCATGCTAGCACCTCTGGCCCACAGGCTGCCAGCGGCCACACGCAAGCTGTTGTCTCCCAATTCCGTCATCATCCAGACAACTACTACGCTCCGGACCTGCGTCCTCAGAAGGCGAAGAGCCATCTCCGCCCAGGGCCTTCCGCACACACCTCGAACCCAGCACTCTCCCCCACACCTCTGCTACCCCCCCTCCCACTCCCACTCGGGGCAGGGCCCCAGCAGCATGCAGACACAAACGCCCAAGACCCCCTCGCCAGCCATGCTGAATCCGTGTTCAAACTGCCCTCAAATCCAGCCATTTGTGTGAATTTCCAAGCCTCTTTGCTATTTCAGGCCTTCACTTACCACCCAAATTAGGACAAAAATCGAACGGGACTCCCTGGGTATAACCTTCTTTCTCCAATCTATCTCCTAAACCATAACCAGAAAGATCTTACTAAAATGCAAATCGAAACACATCGCCTTTCCAACTAAGGCCCCTCCATAAATCCCTAATCACCATATTAAAATCTGCAACTGGTCACAAGAGCATCGAAGAAAAATTTCCAGGGGCGCCTGGCTGGCTCAGTCAGCTGAGCGTCTGACTCTTGATTTCAGCTCAGGTCATGATCCCAGGGTTGTGGAACTGAGCCCCGCTTCGGGCTCTATAAGGAGCATGTAGCCTGCTTGAGATTCTCTCCCTCCCTCTGCCCATCTCCCCAGCTCACACTTGCTTCCTCTCTCAGAATAATAATAAAAAAAAAAATAATAATAATAATAATAAATTCATTCGTTTAAAAAAAAAGAAAAAAATTCCAACTGAATTCAAAGACATCTTTTATCTTCCTCCACCAACAGCTCTCATACTCCAGTCATGTTAAACAATTTGAAGTTCCCTAGAAGGCATTCCACTTTTACTCCATTTGTCAAAGACTACCTTGCTAAGTGGCTTTCTTGGAATGGCTCCTTCTCCTTGAAGGCCGGGTATGGATGCCCTTTCTATGTTTTCTATGACACCCACCTCATCATGGCACTACTATGCTACTGTAATAGTCAACTCATGTGTTTACTACAAGCATCTAAAGGCAAGATGTCTCATTCCCGCACCTGTTCTGACTGACAAGGAGGAAGGGGCTGAATAAATATTCGTAAATCTCAGTCTCAGAAAGGCCCTCAGAATTAATTCTACTTCTTTTTCCATCTCTCCAGCAAATGCCTGCTACTCCCTGTGACCACCTTGCTCAGTGAATGTCCAGCCCCTTGAACACCTCTTATGATGAGAAAAGCACTTATTGAACACTACTATCAACAAGGCCTCACTCTGGACATATACACAGACTTCACTAGAAGGTGCACACAGCTCACAATCTGTCGACATCTCAACTGACAAGAAGATCAAGACCCCGCTGCGGCTGTGGCTGGAAGCTGCTGACTTCTAGATTGTCACCAGTTTCAGAAACACCTGGCAGAAAGAGCCCTGGTGGGGGTGGGGGGGTAGGGGGGTAGGGGTGACCACTAGAAATGAATCTGGAAACAATAAAGTTGGGCCATTTTCATATAAATACAGCTGAGACTCCCCCAAACTCTTTTTGCCCTACCTTGTGTCTTCAATGTTTAAGCTCCCAAATCAGTACATTGTCAAAAAGGAGAGTCTAATGGGACCATTTTGCCCTAATTGCAAGAAAGTCTAAGAGAACAGAGACCATATGATTCAAGTCAATTATTTTATTGAAGGAGATAAGTTACGCAAATGTTAACTGATTGTTGGCAAAGGGAGGGAACATGTTACAAGTCAGGTGTGTTGGCAGAAGGGAGAGAGTACCTAAGGCTCTCTGCCTAACAAAATACTCAGAATCGGGGTTTCCATATTTCTCCATGGCTTGATTTCTCATGAGTCACTTTCTGTCCAAAGGATTCTGGAGACCAAATGAGGTAAGATTCTTTCAGTTATCCACCAAGAGGTTTTAGCTCTTCTCTCAGCTAAGGCACCTAGTGGAAGTATACAGGCAAACCTCAGAGATCTTAAAGATTTGGTTCCAGACCACAAGAAAGCAAATACCACAGTAAAATGAGTCAAATGACTTTGCTGGCTTCCCAGCACATATAAAAGTTATGTTTACACTACCCTGTAGTCTAGTGAGTATACAATAGCATTACGTCTAAAAATCAATGTACACGCCTTCATTAAAAAATACTTTATTGTGGGGCGCCTGGGTGGCGCAGTCGGTTAAGCGTCCGACTTCAGCCAGATCCGCGATCTCCTTGATCCTGTGAGTTGAGGCAGCGTCACGGGAGCTCTGGGCGCGTGGCTCAGAGCCCCGCACACCAGGGCAACTATTTCGATTCTGTGCATGTCTCCCTCTCTCTGCCCCTCTAAGCCATGCTCTGTCTCTCTCTGTCCCAAAAATAAATAAACGTTGAAAAAAAAAAAATAAATAAAAAAATAAAAAAAAAAATACTTTATTGTTTATAAGGTGCTAACCATATCACCTGAGCTTTCCGCAAGTCAGTCTTTTTGCTGGTGAAGGGCCTAGCCTCCAAGTGGCTGGAGCTTCTGCAACAGCGCCTGCCGCTTCACCTTGGACTTTGAGGTTAGGGGCGATCTTTCTTTGTGCCTCCTGAGCCAATATAAATTCAAACTTTTCTTGTGCAGCTTCTTAAGCCTCTCAGCCTCCATGGAACTGGAGAGAGTTAGCACTTTGCTTTTGGATTAGGCTTTGGCTTAAGAGAATGTTTCCTCTTCTATCCAGACCGCTGAAACCTTCACCATCAACCATTGAGTCCTAAGCTCTCTTAAGCATTGGGTATCCTAAGCTGGAGGCCCTTTTTAGTCTCCTTCGGGAACTTTCCCTTTGCACTCACAGCTTGGCTAAATGACGCAAGAGGCCTGGCTCCGGCCTATCTCCGCTTTCATCATGCCCTTCTCCCTGAGCGTAATCACTTCTAGCTTTTGACTTAAAGTGAGAGACGAGGGACTCTTCCTGTCACTTGCACCCTTAGAGGCCAGCGCAGGGTTCCTATCTGGCCTAATTTCAATACTGCTGAGTCTCAGGGAACAGGGAGGCCCGAGGACAAGGGGAGACGAGGGAAGGGCTGGTAGGTGAGCAGTCAGAACACACACAACGCAGATGAAGTTCACTGTCTCCTGTGGACACGCTTCGTGATGCCCCGAAACAATGACAACAGTAACATCACAGACCAGCATAAGAATTATAATAGTGATTATAAAGTTTGAAATATTGTAAGAATTACCAAAATGCAATACAGAAACACGAGGTGAGAAATGCTGTTGGAAAAATGGCACCAATAGACTCACTCGACGCGAGGTTGACACCAACCTTCAATTTGAAAAAAATGCACTAGCTGCGAAGCTCAATAAAATGAAGCACAATAACACGAGGTATGCCTGCAATTTATTTTTCAGATTCCTCTGCGGGATTAAAAAGTCTTTTTCTCATCGCATTGCCATGCTCCCTGCTCTTGGTCCTCTTTTCCATGTACTGGAAAATAAAAGGAAAGGGGAGAAAAGAGACAGCAGATTATATTACCATTTATATATCAGCGGAGTTAGATATTTTAAAATATTTGCAAAATAAGTTGTTTCTGCTGATAAAATTCTTATTTGTCTTTTATTTCACTGAATCTGAAATTGCAAACACAGTACAGCACCTACATCCTAATAGATGCACAAATATTTACTGAATTAATTTCTTCCCAAAATATGAATTCAGGAAATATTTAAGATGAGTGAGTATTGTCCCTGTTCTTTAGGAACTCACGATCACACGCATCTAACCTCTGCTTGAACACTTATAGTTATGAGGAGCTCACTACCTTGAGAGGTAACCTATTTCGCTGTTGGCCACTTCTACTTGTTCCAAAGTGTTTTTTATGTTGAACCAGTGTTTCCATGTAAATTCTCCTACTGCCTATTTCTTCTTGCCTGCTATAATGTGGCAAATATCTGGTTACAGATGACCCACTTACTACCTCTTTTTTAGGCTGAACATTCCTGGCTTCCATAGAGGTTCAAAGAACATGGCTTCTGCCTTCTAATAGCTACCAAGCACCTTTTATAAAGCGCTTTAATATCAATATTCCTGATAAAAAAAATATCACAACCAGAATTAAATACAGAGCTCCACACAGTCTGATAGATGTGGGCTACAGTGGACCTACTAGTTCTTAGGACCTAGACATGTTATTTCTATAAATATTATCAAGAGTAAATGGCTCTTGGCAACCATATTATCCTATTAGTTCACGTGGAAACTTCTAGTCAGCTAAACTTCCCAGGATTTTTTTCATTATAAAGAGTCATCAAACGGATTCTCCCCAAATCCTACATTTCTGTAATTAGTCGGATCTAAATGCAGTTTTCACCTGGAGGTTTTCAGCCTAGTATTCTGATCAGTAGGTTATTAAATAACAGGAAATACACAGCCTGGCACTTAGACAATGCACTCATTTAAAGCAGAGAAACTTGAATATAAGTGTTTTTACATGGATATATGTAGAGGTTTATATACACCAATACAGACATTATTTTAAAGGTGAATGAAGGGTCCCTATGAAAAAGGGGAAAAATATAAAAGTAAATTCAAGTTGAAAAAACTAAGTATTGTGAACAGCTAGACATCAAAATCTTTTAGGAGCCAGAGATATGGGAAGAGGCCACAGAAATGAAATCAGTGATAGAGAGCTAACTAGAGACCTGACTGGATCCCCCGCCTCTGACCCCTGAGACAATGGTGTGGAGGTTCATGATCAGTACATCTTCGGGTCCTGTAACCTCAAATACAGGGAGCTAGGCTAGATGATCTTTAAGAAGTTTTCTGGATCTAAAGTTTTGATTGAAGAGTTATAACACAGCTTCTGGAATGATAGTTTCCGAAATTTTTTTCTTCCCCATCAAAGGACCACTTCAAATTATAGATGAAACACCAGGTCCCTTTAACCAAAATCATTCCTTTTATCTGTCATACATTAATTTTCTTCTGAAGATTTTTCGGGGGAAAAGGGCATTTCATTGCTTTAACAAGTTTTGGTTTTGTTTTTTTTTTTAAAGGCACTATTCTAGAACATGCAGAGATACATACTCGGAGAAAAATATTTGATATCTATCTTTAATCACATATGCTGGACTGCCCACCAGCAATCAGGCTGGGAGAAGCGTTTTAAGGGTAAATCTTCAGAATACCGTGTAGGTGGCCCCAAAAAACAGGTTAAAGAGCAAATTATACTCTATGTTAAAATATATGTTAAGATATGCCCAAAGGGAGTCCAGATGGCCTCTGAATAAAAGAAGGAAAAGAAAAATATATGCATGTGATGTTATTCACAAAACTTCACTGAACAATGTAGATAGAATGGAAGCTCAGTTAACCAAAAACTAAACCAAACCGAACAATGAAGAGGGACAAAAAGGACGCTGCAAAAGTAATATTAGTGATTCTTTCAATAAAATGGGGAATGGCGGGGGGCAGTAACACAGTGGCAAAGAGAGGCAAAGGGAAACTGGCCAGGTCCTTCTAGTTAAAAGCTTCAAGGAATAAAGTACTCAAATGGCACATGAAGGAAATGATAGAGGAGCACGTGAGAGCAGTAAATGGTAAACGAGAAAAGCATTAAAGGCAGAGAGGAAATAAATGAGCACAGGTTCAGAGGACTGAAGCATGAAAGTACAGACAGAAAAACATCCATAAATCAGGTAATGAAGCAACATAAAAACCACATAGAGGACTTAGAAAATAAGTCAAGGAGAAAATCTAAAATTTATATGAAAACAAAGTAAGAAAAATATCTACAACATCCTACCAAATGGTCACTAACGTCTCAGGACCGCCTGGGAAGAAAATTTCATATAAAGATCTAATCACCACACCAATGGCAAAAATTATTGAACCACAAGAAGAAAAAAAAATCTAAATTTAGGGGAAAAGGCGAACAGACACAACAGAAAGCATGTGAGAAATAAATCGCTGCAATGAACACCACAGCGTGGGCTTCGTTTTCCCATAATCCTTATGAAAACCAAACAAAGCCCTAGGTTCAGCTTTCATATAAACTAGCTTTACCAGTGAAGAAAAACTCTTGAAAAATCAATTTAAAACACTTATACATGTACATGTTTGTACAAAGAAAAGGATGACCCTGAAGTGAGAACTCCAGAAAGTTCTTCAAACAGTACAGACACTAGAAAGGGACTCTAGGAAGAGAAAAAACAAACAAAACCAAAAAACCCCCAAAGCCTCAGATTGGAAAATACAAAAAACAAAAATATAGATGCTGGACAGCTTCAAATATTATAACTAATACCTTTCACCATGAGGCAAATAGGAAAAGAAGTTCAAAAATATGGAAAATGCAAAAAAACTGGAAGGCGGGTTTTAATAGTTATAGATTTTTTAAGGTTTTGGACATAACACAACCCATGTGTGAAAAGAAAGGGAATTAAATTTCTTTTCGAGGCACCTGGGCGGCTCAGTCGGCGAAGCGCCGGATTTTGGCTCAGGTCATGATCTCACGGTTCGTGAGTTCGAGCCCCATGTCGGGCTCTGTGCTGACAGCTCGGAGCTTGGAGCCTGCTTCAGATTCTGTGTCTCACTCTCTCTCTGCCCCTCCCCTGCTCGTGCTCTGTTTCTCTCTCAAAAATAAATAAACATTTTTAAAAAATTAAAAAATACATGTCTTTTCAAAGATTTCAAAAGCACCCTACTATATGTCCAAGTCCATGTCATGGCCTAACACCGAGTTTAGGAAATGAGTGTTTCCAATCAAGTCAAACTAGATCCCTATGGCTTGTACATGCCATGGTTATAAAGAAATTCACAATTTTAAACCTGTGAGGAGACCATGTCTGGCTCCCGCCATGTTCTATGAGGGAACAGGCCCGAAGAGTATCTGTTACCCACTACAGGTAATAGCTGACTGTCAGAAGTCTTTCTGCTAAACAAATTCAACTTCCCAAACCTTGCAATTCATACAGGAGAGTTACAATGATTACAATAAGGAAGTTGTTTTCATTTACGTGCATGCAAAAAACAAAAAACAAAAAAAAATCTTAGCAATGTTCTAACTGTCCCCAGAAAAGGCTCTTATTTCTCCTCTTGGTTTTAGGGGAGGATGTACGTCTAAAGTCAATTCTCTCTGTTATACTAAAATTCGGAATAAAAATTAATAATGGCAATATTGTAAAATATTGTTCAAAAATGGTCTATTCTACTGTTCAACCATTTTTATTCTTTAACACTTTTCTTACCTCATTCTTCAAGCATTTTCTCATCTCCCGATCAAGATCATTGCAATGACCAAAAAATTTCAGAATGCTGTGCTAAAAGGAAGAAAAGGGGTAAAATATTTCATCCCACAACATGCTAAGGTCTCTGGCACACAGAATTTAAATACTTATTCCTACAGAAATGGGTTTAACGTGTCAGCACATTGTTAATAAACAGATAGGTAAGTCACAGGTATGAGGTGTACAAATAAATGGACTTATCCTGGCCATCCTAAAGGAGAGATAAAAGCTCTGTAGGTAGAAATGAAAAACCAAAAGACTTTTCCTTACTAAAAGGGAAGCCTATTAAACTGCCAAAACCTCACAATGACAGAGTGTAAACAATTCTGTTTTCAAGTACCTCTGTCTTTAAGGGCATGTTAACATCACAGCACAATCCATCATCTACTACGGGGAGTGATGTCAAAGTGCACTGTGGCCATATTAACATGACCAGTAACTTCCTTCAATAGCAAACACTCTGTCCCACTGAAGAATTACCTAATCTATGCTGAGTGCCAACACTATTTTCTCATTGGCCTCCATTCAAAATGTCATCAAAATACATCAGAAACACGTAACACTATTATTAAATGGTCTATACGGACCACATAAATAAGCCACTAATCCACAATATCAGAAAATCTACGTCTGAAGTTCAAAGTCTGCTTTCTTTGAAAAGCAAAAATAAAAATCTCCCGGTGGTTTCAAGGCCTACGACAATGATCATGGCAAAAAGTACAAATGCTCCAAAGCAGATCACGATGAAGGCTGAGGTCAAGAACACGAATTTTTAGCAGTGCCATAATTAGTGCGCTTGCACATCACGATTTTTAAGGGTGCCCAGGACAGCATGGTGATGGCCTAAAACGACATGCCATAAATGCTGAACTTGTAGTTATAATAGGCACCTGTTCCTCTTCTTCCCAATTAAGGCTTTCATGGAAACAGACAACACATAATTTATAAGCTATGCCCCTCGCTACTCCTTTCCCCCTGCTTCATCGCCGCTTTAAACGTCCTCTTCTGGTCCAGTCAATGAATGGGTTGGTTTTTCTGGCAAGCATTTAAGGTAAACTGACATCTCCTACTGGTTGCCTAATGACCTTTTCAGAATAAGTATTTCTTGTGTATTTTTCCTAAACTATTTCTCTGACCACAGATGAACGGGAACAATGCATTTTCACACACTTTCCGGTGAGGCAGAAACAAAAGAAAGGATTAATGTTTAGAATGTAAGGCAGTATTCCACAGTTTAGTTCAGAGTGATTCCTATCACCCCATACACATACATCTTATGTTTAAATCAAGGACAGCAGCTATTTGTTTTTCGCTTTCACCCCAATATTTAAGCCCAAAGAAATACGCTCTTGTGACATTATGTGCAAAACAAACCCAAAGTGTCCCGCTGGACTTGGTAAAAGGAACGCCCATGGACTGCAGTTCTCTTGCACACGCAGAGCAAAGGCCTCCAGTGTGTGATGTCTGTTTCCAGAAAACCAAACTGGGCCAGTGATTGAATAAATGGGCAATCAATCGGTATCTCGAAGACAAGGACTAGGGATACAGTAGTGAGGAAGGTGGACCTGGGCCCTACTCTCACAGAACACGGTCACAGAACAGAGTGAGTCAACAAACAGAGTGACTGTTATAAAACAGTTGTTCTCCAAGTGCAGTCCAGGGGCACCCACGAGTTCCCAGGAGCTCTCCAGGGGGTGTATAAGATAAAAACTATTCTCCTGATAATCAAAGATCTTATTTGTTTTGTTCATTGTCATTCTCTCACAAGCCTACAGAACTTTCCAGAGGCTGCTCAGAGGACAACATCACCAAAGACTGGACATGAGGCAGATAGGAGACTCCAGCTATATCCTACTAAGCCAGATACCAAGGAGAACTGCAAAAATGCAAAAAGCAATGTCATTCTTCTTTTTTTTAATGTTTATTTATTTTTAAGAGAGAGAGAGAAAGTGCACAAGCGCACACACGCAGGGGAGGAGCAGAGAGGAGGGCGGACAGTGGATCCAAAGCAGGTCCTGCAATGACAGCACAGAGCCCGACGCGGGGCTCAAACCCACGAACCGTGATCAGGACCTGAGCTGAAGTCAGAAGCTTAACCAACTGAGCCACCCAGGCTCCCCGAAAGCAATGTCATTCTTTTGACTCTGTCTTTTGTCTCAGAAAATAAGATCTTTTTTTGTGAAAAATTACTATGTTAACATGTATTGGATTTATTATTGTATTTTTATATACATTTACATTTTTTTTAATTTCTCAGTTTTAATTTCTACTTCAGTAAATATCGGTAGCTAGAGTCCACACACACAAAAGTTACTTGGGGTCCTCAAGAATTTTTTTTTTTTTTTAATTTTTTTTTCAACGTTTATTTATTTTTGGGACAGAGAGAGACAGAGCATGAACGGGGGAGGGGCAAAGAGAGAGGGAGACACAGAATCGGAAACAGGCTCCAGGCTCTGAGCCATCAGCCCAGAGCCCGATGCGGGGCTCGAACTCACGGACCGCGAGATCGTGACCTGGCTGAAGTCGGACGCTTAACCGACTGCGCCACCCAGGCGCCCCCTCAAGAATTTTTAAGAGTGTATAGGAGTCCTGAGACCAAAACGTGTGAGAAGTACCTTGAAGTAGGAAATGGACTACGTATGGTGTTACTAGAGGACAGAGTGACAACACCAAGAGAATCTAGGCCAGGAAAGGAGGAAATGAAGAGGCAAGGACAGATTACAGAGAATAAAACCGGGAGGATGATGAAACCTGGTATAGCATGTGGGGAAGAGGAGACAGTGAGGAGGGCTCCAAGATAAGCCAAGGACAGAGCAAGCCCAAAGCCTCAGAAGAGAGAAATGTGTGCTCCACACAACTGCAGAAAAGGTCGCTGGGGGGCAAGGGGAAAAAAAGAGTGCCGGAGGGTGTGAAACCCAAGGCTAAGTAGGGGCCATGTTCATGAAGGTCCTGAAACAACACGAAGGAAGAAAGTGAGATCGCGTACCGCAGCAAAGGGAGCCGGTAGAGGGGAGCGATGCCTGAACGTAGTTTGAACAGTCACTCCTGACGCGGTGTGGAAAGTGAGCGACGGTAGAGAAGAGGCCAAACCCATCAGGGGACCCAGTTGGCCCCACGAGGAGAACACTGGAATTAACTGGTGTTCAGAACAGACACATAAATCGGCGGAACGGACTAGAGCCCAGAAATAGACCCAGTCATGTGTGGTCAATGGATTTTTGACAAAGGCAGCAAGTTAATTTAGGAGGGAAAGGCTGGTGTCTGCAACAAATAGTGCTGGAAAAACAATACCCGTAGAGAAAGGAAAACACTGACTCCTACCTCATACCAGACACAAATATTAACTTGAAATGGGTCACAAACCTAAATGTCACAGCTAAAAGCCTGAAACCTTTGGAAGAAAAAAAGGAGAAAATCTTTGTGAGCAGGAAACACACAAAGATCCTTAGAATGCAAACAAACAAACAAAAAAACAAAACAAAAACAAAACCCCTCACAAACACTGAAAGAAAAAACTGGCAATTAGACTTCATCAAACTTAGAAACTGCTCTTTGAAGCACAACCTTCAGAAAGTGAAAAAGGATGCCACAGACTGAGAACATACTCACCACACGCTTGTCAATGTCTTCAATTGTCAAGACAGGGTCTTGAATGTCAAATGAAAACAAATTCTTAAAACTCAATAAAGCAAACAACCCAATTTTAAAATATGGGCAAAGAAAATAATAATAATTAAATAAGTAAATTTTAAAATTAAAAAAAATAAACTATAGGCAAAAGACTATATGAATGGTCAACAGGCACATGAAAAGATGCTCAAAATCAGTCATCAGGGAAACACACTCTAAAACCAAATGGGATGCGACTGCACACCCACAAAATAACGTTAAATATCATTAAAATAACGTACAAATAAAATAATGTATAACGTATAAATAACGTTAAAATAATGTTAAATAAAGACATGATATCAATTCTGGATCCACACGTATGCTGAAAAAGGTCTGTCTCAAGTATATTGTCACCAACAACGTTCTTTGAACAAAAAATATCTAACTTCACAGATCAGAGGTAGTACTTACTACCTGTTAGCCTTTAAATTTTACTCATTTAAATGATACATACTGATACTATAATTTTATATATCCACAGTTTATGAATATCATGAGGAAAATGCATCATGCAAAGTTAAAACCACAAATGCTCCTTATAACTGTCTCATGCATCAATTATATGAAAAAAGCTTAATATCTGACATCCATAAAAATATTGGCTTAAGTGAATAAATTCCAAAAATGGGTTTCCTTTCCATTTTGGTTTTAACCATGGAATTTTACTTCCATTCCACTAACAAGTAAGTAAACCTGCCAAATTAGGCCAATCATAATTTAAACCTAGCTAATATCTAATTATTAAAAAAAATTTCAATCTCCTTTAAACACAGAATGATGGACATCAAGGAAAATCTTAGAAAATTCTTACAATAATTGCATTATGATCAGAAGAGTCAGATTAACGTAATTGTTCTAACATCCTGTACTTAAAAAAAGGAAAGTATTTTATTGAAAGAACATGGGTTCTGACTGTTACTTATCATTTCAAAAGTTCCCTAACAAACTACCATGCTTAATTTTTAGTAATCATGAATGGAAACGGTATCTGAAAAATCACAAGCATCAATTACTAATCTTTAGTAAGCTAAGATCCGCCATATTATCATTCCCCTTCCATCAGTGGAGGTAACATTTCACATCACTGTGTTGTACCTAAGTTTCATTTTTGCTTTATGGTCATTTTTCTGAACTCTTACATTTTTGTGACATTCCTTAAGCAAGTTAATCAAGACGTTGCATTCTTCAGTGTGCAAGTGTGGAGATAAGTCAGGATGCATCTTTAGGAGAAGGGATGGAGCGCAGCAGAGCGACCTGTGGATACAAGAGTGTCTTGAATATGTGTGACTGTACTTGTTAATGCGACCTAAAGCTACTTCAGAAAAACCTGCAATGAGCTTTATCAGAAAGGAACGCTCACCCTAGGCAAATTATTAACCTTGAGCCTCAGCTTCCTTATCGAGCAGTTTAACAGATTCAGCAAGTTATCAGGTGTTCAGAGAACCTGCAGTTTCTAAAGAGGCCCAACACTGGAAAGAAGTGCTCTAGCAGAAACGGCCAGCCTCTCTTAATAAGCCTGATTTCAATTATTTTCCCCACATTCCTGAAATTGATTACAACTCATTTTGTTCAAATGAAATTCTACAAAACAAGAGAACTGGTTTATTAATCCTTTTAAAACGTATACTCCTCTCAGAGGGTTAAAGCCCCATCAGTCTCACATTAGTGTGAATTAACATCGACTGTTTTCTTCCTAACATCTGGCTGAGAAAATCTAACTAAACAGTGAAGAGAAACAAAAAGCAGATGTGAAAAAAGTTTTTCAGTTTAGCAGATCTGTCCATAAAACGCAATTATTACAATGAAAGCAAGATGCTGAAATCCCAGAAATTAAATTTAATTGGTTCATTCACAAAGGAGAAAATTAGCAGCCAAGGTCAAAGGAAAAGCATTATTTTGAAGTGTTTGCTATAGTTATGTAGCACTATTTACCTACTCTTTTTTGTAACCTATTCTTTTTAACTTGGAAAAGATTACCAAAAGAAAGAACCAATGATTGCTTTAATCTTCTAAAAGATTTCAAGAAAGACAACCTAAAATAATGACCTTAGGCAGGACCAAGAGTTCTTAGGTCAACAGCACAATTCATAAAAGAAAAAATTGGTAAAATATTATCAAACTTAAAACTTTCTCGCTTCAAAAATATACCATTAAGAAAATGAAAAGACACAGGCATGGAAAGTAGAGCACAGGGAATGCGGTCAATAATACTGTAATATGCTTCTCGTGGTGAGCATTTCATGACATATATAATAAATTTTAAAAAAAGGATAAGCCACACTTTGGGTGATGATGATGTGTCAATGTGGGTTCAGTTGTAAAAACACACAACTCTAGCGGGGGATGCTGATCACGGGGGAGGTTGTGCATGTGTGGGGCAGGGAACACATTGGGTCTCTCTGTACGTTCTGCTCAATTTTGCTGTGAACCTAAAACTGCTCTAAAAAATAAATATCCTACAAGCTGGAGACTAGGGGAAAATATTTGCAAATCATGTTTGAAAAAGGACTTGCTACCTAGAACATATAAAGAATGCTTACAAACCAACGCAATGTTTAAAATGGACCCCCAAAATGGGCAAAAGATTTGAATACTTCATAGAAGATGGTACAAGAATGGTTAATTAAGCACATAAAAAAAAAAAAAAAAAGGCTGAACACCATTAGTCACAGGGAACTAAAACCACAATGAGATACCACTGATTTCCACCCGAATAGCTATAATCAAAAAGTCAGACAATATCAAGCAATGGTTAGGATGCAGAGAAAACAGACCTCATGCATTGCTAATGAAAATGTAAAATAGGACACACTTAATTTGGCAGTGTCTTAAGGAGTTAAACACATACTTACCAAATGACCCCTGACCACGGAAACCGCACTCCTAAGAATATACCCAAAAGAAATGAAAACATAAAACCACACAAAGACATGTATGCTAATTTTGACAGCATTATTCATCATAGCCAATACTGGAAACAATGCAAATGTCCAATAACCTGCCAACTGGATAAATAAATGCGGTATGCCTAGACAATGGAATACTATTTAGCAATTAAAAGGAATGCACGGACACAGGCGCCAACGTGGATGAACCTCAAAGCACCAAGCTGAATGAAAGAAGCCAGATTCAAAAGACTATATATGATTCCATTTATATGCAATGCGTAGAAAAGGCAAAATGGTAGAGAAAAAAAGCCGATGGTTTGCCTACACCTGAAAGTGAGAGGATTATTTGTCACTGGCCACAAAGGAATACATCTGCACGACGAAAGCATTTTAAAACAGGATTGTGGCAGTGGCCGCACAATAGCAGTTTACCAAAATCACTGAACTCATGGTGGGTGAATTTTATGAAATGTAAATTATATCTTCACAGAGCTAATACAAAAACATTTGAGAATTTCAAACTGCCTATCTACTTTCCACTCTCAACAAGTCCTTATAAATGTCTAAACAAAGAATTCCAGAGCATTACAGTATCCCTACTATTTCAGAACTCCATTTCCAAAAAGACCAGTGGATCACTGTTCCACTGAGTGACTGACTACACATGCACACACACACACACACACACACACAGCGCAAACCACAGCTGACAATCCCAAACCAGGCCGCTATGCCCAACTAAGTCCTTGAGTCTCTGAAACACATTTGGAAATGCAGCCAAGTTCAAGTTTTGTTTGCCTGCCGCTGACTACGAAGTCTTCTTAATGACATAATCTTTTCCCTCAGAAAAATGAGGCCTCATACGGTCTAGAAATTTAAGTCATCTAATGTACTATTAAGTCACTTAGCAACTGTCTTTTTATTTTGTAAATGTGACAAAACATTTTCACCTCTATCAACCAAGTCCTCAGATTTGTGCTTTTACAATTTGGAAACAAGCTTATGATGTACTGAAATGACCTCTTTGATTGGTCCATTAAATACTTTAGAAGACACTTTGCAGATGAGATAAATACACCCACATTGTATATAAGTACAAACGCATACATACCACGATGTGTATTTTTCCTCCCTCTGTTACAAAAGTTTATGCGCTGTAGACCCAGCCAGGGTACCAATAAGATAACTTCCTCTCTACTTAGTATCCTATGTAACTATGTCAAAGAAGAGAATGGTTTCATATAGTTTCCTTTTCCTATTCTTCTTGGTAAAAAACTAAACTGCTACTTCTCAATCTACAGCTCTAAACACTGACCTACCTAATCCCTTATCTAACAAATTCCTTGCTTTACCAGTCATTCCCCCCCCTTTCCTCCACCCCACCTTTTCTTTTTTTTTTTTTTTTTCAACGTTTTTATTTATTTTTGGGACAGAGAGAGACAGAGCATGAACGGGGGAGGGGCAGAGAGAGAGGGAGACACAGAATCGGAAACAGGCTCCAGGCTCCGAGCCACCAGCCCAGAGCCCGACACGGGGCTCGAACTCACTGACCGTGAGATCGTGACCTGGCTGAAGTCGGACGCTTAACCGACTGCGCCACCCAGGCGCCCCCACCCCACCTTTTCAATGAGATACCGTCTTCTTTCCCTCTGTCCACCCTGTACCCACACTCTCTTCCAGCACCCGGCTGGCTGCGCCTCCCGTTGGTGCTTACACGGGTGTACTGCCACACTCACAGCTATAAAACGATGCCATTGTTCCCACAACACTTGCTGTGAGTGCTGATATCTTCCAGCAGTCATCTTTAAAAGCCTATTCTGGGGCGCCTGGGTGGCAGGTGAGCATCAGACTGCGGCTCAGGTCATTATCTGGCGGTTGGCGAGTTCGAGTCCCGTGAGAGGCTCTGGGCTGACCCGCTCGGAGCCTGGAGCCTGCTTCGGATTTTGTGTCTTCCTCTCTCTCTCTGCCCCTCCCCCATTTGTGTTCTCACTCTCCCTCTCTCTCTTGAAAACAAACATTTAGAAAATTAAAAAATAAAAGCCTATTCTAATAAACATTACTATAACTCAAAGTAATTTATGAGCTGAAGAAAACTAAATGTATATTCCATATTCTTACTTTTAACATTCCTTCAAGGCCATGACTGTATCTACATTATTAGTGTAGAAAATAATTTTTGAACACTTACCACACACTGGGCACAAGTCTTCTAATCCTTCCAATAACTGTAAATTCATTGGAACCATAAGAAATTGCCTTTTTGTACTTCAAGTATGCATTACTCACATGTTCACATCAAAAATAAGTCCCAGGTCACATAGCAAGTGGCAGAGTTACTACTTCCCAGTGCAATCTCTAAACCAGGACAAATTATTCCCATGTTCGAAACAGAAAACTTCCCAGCAGTTTGTGGGTGAAATACATTCAGATAGAAAAAACTATTTCCGGGGCGCCTGGGTGGCTCAGTCGGTTAAGCGGCCGACTTCAGCCAGGTCACGATCTCGCGGTCCGTGAGTTCGAGCCCCGCGTCAGGCTCTGGGCTGACGGCTCAGAACCTGGAGCCTGTTTCAGATTCTGTGTCTCCCTCTCTCTGACCCTCCCCCGTTCATGCTCTGTCTCAAAAATAAATAAACGTTAAAAGAAAAAAAATTAGGGGCGCCTGGGTGGCGCAGTCGGTTAAGCGTCCGACTTCA